CTCACTGCGACCGAGGGGAGCCGCGGCTCTGCTGCACCGGAAGGGGGAGCCCTGTCCAATGCTGAATAAGCCTTAAAACTTGAAATGACAGATGGAGGACAGTGTCAGATTTAAGCGGGGCACTGCAGCATCAAATTAAGTATCCGAAGGGAGCTGCGGCTCTGCTGCACCGGAAGGGAGAGTCCCTCTTGCAGCTGAAAACGTGGCGTAGTTTAAAGCGTCAGATGGAAGGCTCTCACTGCGACCGAAGGGGGCCGCGGCTCTGCTGCACCGGAAGGGAGAGCCCCGTCCGAAGCGGAAAAGCAAAGGGGCTCAAAACGACAGATGGAGGGCTCTCACTGCGACCGAAGGGAGCCGCGGCTCTGCTGCACCGGAAGGGGGAGCCCTGTCCAATGCTGAATAAGCCTTAAAACTTGAAATGACAGATGGAGGACAGTGTCAGATTTAAGCGGGGCACTGCAGCATCAAATTAAGTGGAGCACTGCAGCGACAGTATGAAATGAGCAGGGCACTGCAGCGGCAGTATCAAATTAAGCGGAGCACTGCAGTGACAGTATGAAATGAGCAGGGCACTGCAGCGGCAGTATCAAATTAAGCCGGGCACTGCGGCGGTAGTATCAAATTAAGCAGGGCACTGCAGCGGCAGTATCAAATGAGCAGGGCACCGCAGTGGCAGTCTGAAATTAAGCCGGGCACTGCGGCGGCAGTATCAAATTAAGTAGGGCACCGCAGTGGCAGTCTCAAATGAAGCTGGGTTCTGCGGCGGTAGTATCAAATACGCGGGGCACTGCGGCGGCAGTATCGAATGAAGCAGGGTTCTGCGGCGGTAGTATCAAATGAGCGGGGCACTGCGGCGGCAGTATCAAATGAAGCAGGGTTCTGCGGCGGCAGTATCAAATGAGTGGGGCACTGCGGCGGCAGTATCGAATGAAGCAGGGTTCTGCGGCTGCCGTATAGAATTAAGCAGGGCACTGCAGTGGCGGTATCAAATTTAATTTAGCCGATCAGAGTTAGATGGGCTTTCTTTATGTGAGAATGATTGGTCCTGATGTAGCTCTTGAAGGCGTCCGATGACCATCGACCGAGATTTTGGATCTGCTGCTGTGAGAGGCCTTTTTGAGCTGCTGTGGTTGCTGCCCCGTTTCGGAAGGAGTGGCTGGAATATCTTTCTGCGGGTATGCCTGATTGGACGAGGGTGAGTTTTAGATGTTTTTGGAACCAAAAACGTGTGACGGGGTGGTTACGGTCATCGACAAAAAGAGGGTCGAGAGGGGATGTAGACTGGGAGTTTCTGAATTGGAGGTATGAAAAAAGGGCCTGATACGGTTGGATTGGTGACGGGCGGTTGAAGATATAGACGTAGTTACCTCTTTTTTCCTGATCTGATTTGCTTTGTTTGATGAAATAGGAGATGGTTTCGTTGTCGAGCACGGAGAGCTCGGAGATGGTTGGATGGAGTTTGGGGTTGAATTTGGAATTTATAGTGAATTCAGAGCATCTCAGGAAACCGAAAAAAGCCAGTATCAACATTGCATCAAGTGTACGAGCAGTATGGAGTGAGTGGTACCCTGAGCAGAGAATGTGGATGCATTTAAAGAGAATGTCTAAGGTTATTGGTTGTCTAGTGTCTGGGCTTGGAGGATGAGAGCGCTGAATGCCTTTGATCAAGAGAGATGTTTGGGAATTGTTTATTTCGGAAGAGGGGGCACCGTGGATTAATTTGTGAAAAAATTGGATTCCGCTTAGATAACCTTTGATGCACCGGGCTTGAAGTTTCTTACAGGTGTTGAGGTAGGAGACGAAAGATGTAATCGAGAGGAGGGAAAAATCAGGAAATGGCAGGTTGTACGATAGGTGGAAAGTTTTAAAGCATCTCCAAGCAGTTAGATAGGATTGGATGGTTCTGGGTGAAACTGCTTGGAGGATCGAATCGAGTGACGCATTGAGAAGGGGATTTAAGGGTTGATTTATGGGAAGATGAGTTGCGAATAGTGAGGAACCGAGGTAGGAGATGGGTCTGCCTCTGGCGCCAGTGCTCTGAATCTCTGAAACAGAAAACGAGAAAGAGAGTCAGCAATTAGATTTTTGGATCCAGGAACGTGTTTAGCAGTAATGATAAACTGATCGCATGCTGAAATCCAAATTAGACGCCTTAGGAGTGGCATTAGGGCAGGGGAATGAGAACGGCCTTTATTTATGCAGTGGACAGCTGCTTCGTTATTGCAGTGAACTAAGATGCTGCTTGCCGACCAATCTTTCCCCCACAGGAAAGCTGCGACGACCAAAGGATAGAGCTCGAACAGTGCTGAGGACTGAGGAGCGTCTAACAGCTGAGGAGGCCAAGGAGACGCGAACCAGTGGCCTTGATAAAAAAACCCGAAACCGACGGAGGGAGCCGCATCGGTGAACAGATGAATGTCGTTGGGGTGAGAAACAAGGTCACTGTAAAATAAAGATAGGCCGTTCCATTGTTTAAGGAAGGTTAACCATAGGCGGAGTTCGTGGCGACATGCGTGCGTTAAGGTAATTTGTTCTTTTAGATCCTGAACCGACAATGCGAGTGAGAGAAGATGCGAGATGAAAGGGCGGCCTTGTGGAATTATGCACATAGCGAAATTGAGGTGACCGAGCAGAGAAAGAAGCTCGCGTTTAGAACAATTTCGGCTTTCTACTAAGGCTGAAGCAACTAAAATTATTCTGTCGATTTTTTTCTTTTGGCAGAGAGGCCTGAAATTTGGCAGAATCCAAGTTAATGCCCAAAAATTCGATGAATTGTGTTGGCCAAGAAGTTTTCTCCCGAGCGATGGGAATCCCCAGCTCAGCGAAAACTTTTTGGACCATCAGGATATTCGCGGCTGGGATAGCATCGGGAGGTGAGATGATTAGGAAATCGTCGAGCAGCTGAATGACGTGGTGAATGGAGTAATTGTTAGAGAGAATCCAGCAAATGGCTTCTGATAACATATCGAAAATTTTGGGGCTGCTTTTGCATTCGAAAGCCAGGCGTACTGAGAAATACAGTTTACCTTGCCAGCGAATACCGAATAGATGCCAAAAGTCTGGGTGGATAGGCATCACCTTGAAAGCAGAGGTAATGTCTACTTTGGCTAGCCATGCACCGCGACCTACGTTTTTTATCATGGTGATCGCTTGATCTATGTCGTGGTAGTGCAAAGAGTATTCCTCGAGGGGAATTAGGC